TTTATAATTTTGCTTTGCACATATTTAGTTTGCTATCCAACTCCTATCACTTCTGCTTTTTCACAAGACCCAGGTAACATCATTAACGCTTGGTTGAGTCATGATCCTCCATCATCCTCCGTGGTCCTCCAAACTACAATTCTTCTTTAAATGGTTCAGCTAATGCTGAAGGTACGGTGTGCTCTTACTGAGTCCATCCTGACTCCTAATAGTTTCTTCTTTCATGTGTAAGTGTTTGTGCCATATCTGTTATAAAACTGGGAACTAGAAAATTACCAAAATCATGCCTGTTAATTTACGTCTATTCTTTTGTTTCCTGAATTTGCCTCTCTTCCTCTTCTTTCACACTTTAGTCTTTCCACTATTGATTTATTAAAATGATTCCATAATCTTCATTTTCCAGAATTCATGGATAGAAGCTAACTGGCTATGCTTTTATGAGTTTTTCTTTCATTCTGGAGAGATTTGGTGTAAGATAAATTTTCTATATTATTTTCATTTGTATCATCATTTCCATGTTAAAATACATCCGTACTGAGAAGAGAGGGGAAATAATATCGTCATCTTTTAAAAGACAGGGTTTATCTGTAGACACCATGCAGGCCTCAAGCTCCTGCCTCAGCCCACCAAGGTCCTGGGATTACAGGCATTCATCACCACGACCAGCTATTATCTTCTGTGCTTGCGGAATCAACTTCTCCAGCCATTAGCTCTGTCTACAAACCACATCTTCTCCTGAGAGACAAGTCAAAGCAATATAAAAACAGTAAGAAATTATGCTTCCATTTCCAAATTCTGTCTGCAGTTCTCATGAGTTCATGCTCGGCTTCACACCGAGCACAGAGATGCTCCCAACACACCCATTACACTCATCCCTTCATCCTCAATTCCATCAACCAGGGGAATTTGGGGGATTGTCTTCCCTCTTTTATTGAGTCCGTATTGTATGAATTATTTTTAAGTGCTTCTCCTACCTTAAAACTCTACTACTTAAATCATTTCTACATTTGCAAAATCCATACCTTCTTTTAAAGTGTTTGCCTAAAACATAAAACTAGGTCTTGGTTTTCTTCCTTCCTCTCCTGCTAAGAATAACATAACTGCGTAGCTGTCTTCCAGATTTCACACCACTTCCCCATCCTTAGATGATTCTTCCTTTATCATTCAAAATGATGTCCAGTGCAGGAGTTTTCCTTACTTCTTCATGCTTTCTCTGAAAAACCATATGGCCAGTTAGCAAGTCAGGAATGTTTTAAGTACCCAATTTTTCAACAAATGAGACAGAGAACTTAGCTGACAACTACCTGGACAGCTCCCAACCCCAACTTTAAATTTTACATTCAAAAAAAAAAAAAAAATTAGCTCAGAGGACTGGGGAGATGGCTCAGTTGGGTAAAGTGCTTACTGCATAAGCACAAAGACTTGAAGTTGGACTTGCAGACATGTGGATAAAGCTAGGTAGGGCGGTACGTGTCTGTGATCCCACCTCTCCTATGGCATGATACAACGTATAGACAGAAGGACCTCCAGAATCCTCGCACATATAGAAAGGCAGAGGGTGAACACGGGCCCCTGAGGTTTTTCTTTCCATCTACATACATGCTTGGCAAGCATTTGTATTCACACACAAACATGCAGACACAAACTCCTACTGACATCAGCTAGATAGTGGCTGGTGTGCAGCAAACACTACTTCTGTCCCTCACCTGTACTCTCCCTGGCTGAATGTCTCCGTTCTCCAGGCCATACAGTAGAGGGAGAGAGGAAGGTAGGAGGAGACAGCCACAGTATTGAAAGTCAGACTCCTGCTATTGCATTTTCATTTTCTGCCACCATTAAATTGTAAAACTATGAAAAGTTTTCATGAGTTTATAGAATTCACTTTTGCATGTTAAAATGAAGGTAAAATTTACCTGAAAAGGCCATTGTAAACATCAAGAAAGAAAAATCTCTTGTGCATGTGTGGCTTTATATACACACACATTACAGACAATAACTGTATAAGAAAACAGATTCATAAAAAAAATGCACAAACCAAATTAAGAATGTTGTTCTCTAGAAATCAGATTAGACTGAAGGAGTAAAGAGGAGAAGAAGAAATTAATAATCTGCCTTCTGTGGTACCAAGTTATAAATTATTACTTTTTTCACAATTATTACTTTTATAACTAAGGAAAATAATTTTAGAAGAACACTTCATTGTAATCAGAGCATTGCAGTACTTTACCCTTAATACTGATTTGTTGTAAATGTGTTTGTAATGTGCCTGAATAGCATTACTTTATTTTATTGCTCCGTGCTGTTCAATATGAATCATGCAATTGACATTGCACTTGCAAGAGGTCCATCCCTGGATCTTCACTCAGCAGCTATGCCTCCTTTTTCTAGAGTCAACTGTAGCTCCCTTGATTAAGCATACATGCACAGGGGCATATGTAGCCACGGTGAAGACAACAGCAGTAGTCAGAATTTCATTCTAGCTCAACGCCTTCCCAAACAGGCTGCCGCTTGCTCTACCTCTTCCCAGAACAGAGAATGTCCATGTTGCTATCATGTGGGCGCTAACTCGTTCTCTTGTGCAGCTTTTCTTAATCATAACTTGTTCTCAGACATTCTGGAGCAGCAGACATAAAACCACAGGATCTAGCAGTGGAAAGACAGAACATTTTTCGTGAGCACTTCCTTACCCCTTTGGGAGAAGAAAACTTCAACAGCTTTGAAACTGTGGTTTTCACTTCCAGGAAATAATGCCTCTGGGTGATTTTTGGGTTTTTTAAAGTTTCTTTCATTTTATGTCTCCCAAGAGAGTTCAGATTCTGGTGGCTCCAACTGGAAGATGAGAAAAGCATTGCACCAAGAAGAAATGGCCTTTCTTGCGCTACCCAGAAATTTCACAATCAGATCTCTGCACAGAAAGGGATTACATATCCATAGCTGCCACAGTGCCATCTAAGTCCAGTGGAAATTAGGCACAACGGCAATCTGTGTTCAGGGCCACCTGCCCTTTCACTTACCCTAAGTAAACAAACAAACAAACAAACAAACAAAAAAGGGTTCCTGTGTTCTGATAAGACAATTCTGGCACACGCCTTTAATCCCAGCACTTAAGGAGGCAGAGGCAGGTGGATCGCTGTGAGTGCGAGGCCAGCCTTGTTTATGAAGTGAGTCTAGGACAGCCAAGGCTATGCAGAGAGACCCTGTCTCGAAAAACAAAAGACAACCAAAAAAGGTAGTCGTGGGCAAGCCATTTCGTGCAGAAGTCTTCAGTCCTTAGCAGAGAAGAACTGCATGCTACCTGTACATCCAACCATTTGCCTCCACTTGAGGTTCTGATTTTTCATTATTTGGTATGTCATGTCTCAGATTTTTCAGCTGCCCTACCGGAGTTAAGTGAGAGTTACTAGAATTGGAAAATATTTTTGATAGCTGTGGCTATATCTATGATACTTTTAATAGCAGGCCAGAGCTCCACTAACAGCTGCGCAGCTGTGTATGAGCCTGGTTGTCCTTTTCTTTTGCTACATGAAATGAGGATTAATTGGGACTCGTGTCCATTGCTTCATGTTGTGTGTGTTGTGCTGAGAGCTGCCCATTTCAAGCTGATCTCTCTGCATGTCGTATATGAACACAAAACTTCAATTGCCAGAAGAAAATTTCTCCAAATATCTAAACTTATTCCAATATAGTTTTCAAAAATACTGAACTTGTTTGTTTATTAAAGTTGACAGGGAATTATGCAATTTAAATTCAGTAAAGGCAGAACTTCCAGAAGCCAGGGAGAAGGAAAACAAATTTCTTTGTAATTTATTTTTTATTCTCAAGGTAGGGTTTCTCTGTATGTGGCCCTGACTGCCCTGAAACTGGCTCTGTAGACCAGGCTGGGCTTAAAATGTGAGATCTACCTACCTCTGCCTCTCAAGTCCTAGGATTAAAGGCATGTGTCACCACCACCGGGCTAATAGCAAATTTTTTACTAGATTTGCATATAATCTACTTTGATATGTATACATTACATACATATATGTGTATGTGTGTGTATATATATATATATATATATATACACATATATAATTCCATGCAATACTTCTTGATAAACTAGTATCACTTTCTCTTTTTGTCCTATAATAAATAAAAACAGTGGAATATTGATAGCTGATTTATAAAAAAAAATACATTTTTTGTACTCAGCATAGGCTTTAAATATGTCAAAGGACTCAAGCATTCTTAACAATGTCACCAATATATCTTCACTTGATTTTTATTCAAAAATGTCATAAAAAGAGTGTATCTGGATACTTTTCTTTTACAATTTTTAAGGAAAAAAAAACAAGTCAAAAGAAAAGTTACTGTAGTTTCAAAAGTTTATCAAATTATTTGGATAAAATTTTGAATGATTTGAACAGAATTTAAGTAGAATTGAATTTTTTTTTTCTTTTGCTTAACCTAGATAATAAATGTCTAATTTGGACTGTCCATGTGGTACTCGGTTCCCAAATTAAACTCTTTCAGAAACTGCCGTTTTTAGCGAAAGAGGGGGAAGTGAGAATTAAACGCCCGGGCTCTTTCTATACAACCATGGCCAACTCGCCTGAAAAACCAAATTTGGCTACTTAACTGTAGTTCATTGTCTGGCAAAGCTATAGCAGGACCCCAGGAACTTAAAATGACCATGCTCAGAACCTCTCAACAGTTTTCATTAGTCTAGAGTCTAGCACAGAGCTTCAGAAAGTCCAGCCCTGGTGCCCTCTCCTTTTTCATCACGTCCTTCTCCAAAACATATACGGCCTGCTTTGGACCTGCTGCCTAATATCTAAACACGGTACCCAAGAAAGCATCTGGTAAAGGTCTCAAGAAGTGACCTGCACAGGAAGCTGGTAACTGATATGAACAGCGTAAATATTTCACGCGCATAGTCATTTGTTTCTGGTTTGTTTGTTTGTTTGTTTGTTTGTTTGTTTGTTTGTTTGTTTTAAAGGTGTTCCCCTTTTCTCCCTGCTCAGGTGGCAAACCTGCTGAGGCTCTTCCAGATCCCTCAGATAAGCTACGCCTCCACCAGCGCCAAACTCAGCGACAAGTCGCGCTACGATTACTTTGCCAGGACCGTGCCCCCTGACTTCTACCAGGCCAAAGCCATGGCCGAGATCTTGCGCTTCTTCAACTGGACCTACGTGTCCACCGTTGCCTCTGAGGGTGACTACGGGGAGACGGGGATTGAGGCCTTCGAGCAGGAAGCCCGGCTGCGCAACATCTGCATCGCCACTGCTGAAAAGGTGGGCCGCTCCAACATCCGCAAGTCCTACGACAGCGTGATCCGTGAGCTCCTGCAGAAGCCCAACGCGCGCGTCGTGGTCCTGTTCATGCGCAGCGACGACTCACGGGAGCTGATCGCCGCAGCCAGCCGCGTGAACGCCTCCTTCACCTGGGTGGCCAGCGACGGCTGGGGTGCCCAGGAGAGCATCGTCAAGGGCAGCGAGCACGTAGCCTATGGCGCCATCACCCTGGAGCTGGCCTCCCAGCCCGTTCGCCAGTTCGATCGCTACTTCCAGAGCCTCAACCCCTACAACAATCACCGAAACCCCTGGTTCCGAGACTTCTGGGAGCAGAAGTTCCAGTGCAGCCTCCAGAACAAGAGAAACCACAGACGGGTTTGCGACAAGCACCTGGCCATTGACAGCAGCAATTATGAGCAAGAATCCAAGATCATGTTCGTGGTGAACGCTGTGTATGCCATGGCGCATGCGCTGCACAAAATGCAGCGCACCCTCTGTCCCAACACCACCAAGCTCTGCGATGCAATGAAGATTCTGGATGGAAAGAAGCTGTACAAGGAGTATTTGCTGAAAATCAACTTCACGGGTAAGCAGTGAGCCTTTTCTCATCTTCTGTGGTGTGGACAGGTGGACTCGGCCAGGAGCCAAACACCTCTGCCCCTAACGAGACGTCCTTGCTTTGGAAGTGTAGTCACCCAAAGGGAGGTTCATAATCTTAAATAGCTCAAGACGCATTGCAAGGATAGCTCTTTGATAGTCTTGTTCATTTTTTTGACGAATATCGTGGCTGGTACACTACAGGAAGCTGAAAGGCCCCTAGGCTAGGTTGGTGGTCCCATTGCACCAGCCGCCCGGATGGGACCATGCTACATTGACTCTTTTTTTGTTAGCTGCAGGATATGACACGTATGATAGGGGTATTTAATCTTCTGCTGTGGAATTGGCAACTGTCTAAGGAACATGAATTCTAAGCTCTCCTTGTGGGGTATTTCAGCCAAAGAAGCTCATAACTGTCACAGTGGGAGAGAAAAAAGTCACTTTTCCCAGAGCCTAATTAGGGACAGAATAGAAAAGACAACCAGATCATGGCGTCTCCCAAGCACTGTGGTTTATTTCTCCTGCTATACAGAAACATTCCCTAGGGGTTTTAGAAGTGTGGGTTCTCTCAAATTGTATTATAAAAAACGCAACTTTCTCTGTAATCCTGAATAGAAGCAAATGGAAGACTGATTGAAGTCATTCTGATCTGAAGTAACTACACAGACGCCTCCAGAAAGAATATTGCTGTCCTTAACCCACTTCTAAATAGGGCATGAATATTTCTAGGGACGGTTTCACATTACTAACACACTAAAAACACAGTCCTTGGGTTAACATGCTCTCATGTGGCATCAGCTCTTTGATATTCGATGGCTCTAAGGACTTAAAGCCGAGCTATAGAGTGGTAAGTAACACCGAGGACAGTGACCCGGGGTGCTCTTACGCCTGCACTGTTAAAAGTCTCCTACGCCATTAGGCAACGATTCTGGCCTGCACCATCAATTTCAATTCGTCACCCGGTATCTGGACGTTTGTTTGCTTACATCGTGTGTTCTGTAGAGCTAGAATTCTCACGGTTCCTTCACAGGTGGTCACCTAGAACTCAAGTACTCTGCAACATTACTGAAGGTAATGAGGGAGGGCCTGTGGCCATTGGCTTCTATTCCAACATTTCCATAGGCTTCAAGGTGGCCTTGAAAATAAGCACACGTATTCCATTGTGAAGTTTTGCATATTTTCTGTCCTTCATGCTCTCCAAAGGACAAAAGTAATGGAAGTGAGTCAAGCAGCACCCTTCTTATCCATCTGATGGATGCAACCTCTTACCACTAGAATGATTTCAGGAAGCACTAAAGATTAAATATTTCTTATCCTTCATGTGTGTGTCAATTAATATAGAAACAAACAGCCACCACCAGAATTTTTTAAAAAGCTTACTAAAAAAATTACCATTCATCTCAGGATCTCTATAAATTTCTACTGACAAGACTCCAAAGAAATAAGAAATGGCCCTAAAGTTAGTACCAAAAAGTATCTGTACTTCAAACATAGATATGAACTGTCCATAAATACATAATTCTTAAAGACAGTTATCTATTATGTACCACCTGAAGACTACCTATGAGATAAATATTTCTCTTTATTCTCCACATGTATTAATTATCTTTGATATTCTATTTGCCCCTCAATTTGTGAATACATACAACAGGTTCATTCATTAACAACCAAAACAAATGAAACTCAGATTTCAGAGAGCCTTTGAAAGATAACCGCAGCATTTTTCCTTTCTCTGGCGGCTTGGTCCTAAAAAGCAGAGGAAAGTGAAGAAATGAGGCCACAGTTTAGATAAATAAAACAAACATGTCTTCTTATTTTCTCTGTCTTGTTCAATTACCGGTTTCAATTCTACAATCCTCATTGCCTGTGCAAGGCCTCACCACAAAGTGCCATTCTGGCCTTCTCAATTAGTCAGGCATTACCCACCACTCTCCATTTATGAAGAGAGTAGGAGAGTGAAAAATAGATTTAAACCACAGAGAACACAGGTAATTTAGACTAGCCACAAAGCAAATATGCTTGGAAATAAGAATGGCATGCTAAAAATGTGTTACAAAGGTACTGATATGAAAGAATTATCTAACGAGAGTTTTTAAAAATAAAGAATCAACTCTATAAAGTCCTTCACTTTAGAAGAACACATCTGGAATAGCGTATAGAATTTCATGTTCAGTTTGTGGTAACGTGTGTGTGTGTGTGTGTGTGTGTGTGTGTTCCTGTGTGTGGTGTGTACATGCATGGTAGAAGGTGAACACTTGGGCTGGCAGGTGTACGTGTGTCTTATTGCTGTGTGTGTGCCTGCATGCATGTGTGTTGACGTCGTGTGTCTTCCTCAAGTATTCCCTGCCTTATTTTTTGAGACAGACTCTCTCACTGCATCTGGAGCTCATCATTTCAGCTCTGCTTGGGTAGCCAATGAGCTTCGTGGATCTCCGTGTTTCTGCCTCCTCAGCACTGAGGTTACCTATGGGCACCACCACACCTGGTCATTCTGTGTGTGTTAGATCTAAACTCGCATACCCATGCTTACATGGCATGTATTTTACTGACTAAACTAGCTCCCTAGCTCCATAGAGATACATATATTCTAAAGCTTGGAACTAGGTGAAAGATTGTAAGCATTTATGCAGTGACACTACCTTAATTAAAAATTACCAAGGGATTGTCTTCTTATTTTGTTAACAACTGCAAAATCAGATGCACTTTATGTTTCTTTTCTAAAATAATATCTGGTTTGCTTGCTTACATACTGATACAGTGGAATAGACGTGATAGTCAACACTAAGCCGGCACTACCACATCTGCCCAATTGGGTTCTTCCTGCCATCAGCTTCTAAGAAGTAAATCCAAGACTCTGTAAAGGGACAAGAGTTAGCAATTCGATAACAGCTATGCTTTTTTATAGGACTTTGGCCACTTAATCCCTTTTTTGCTGTGCTCCAACTAGGGGGTCCCTGTGTTGGTTTCATAAATCTTTTGAGCTTGACTCAGTCTGGACATTTGGTTTTGTTAAATAGATTTAACAGAAGTATGTGTTCTCAAATTTTCTACTAAATAGCAAATTCTTCTGGCATGGGACAGAACCAGTTTTCAACTCTCTAGTTCCATTTGTTTGCATGCAGATTGTCTGCAGTTCCCCAGACATGCCATGCCTTCACTCAAAATTTCATACCCTGTGAACAGACCAGTTGATCCACCTAGGGCACACTCTTACCTCGCCCTCATTTGCCTTATGTACACGCCTGTCATGTTTTTTTTTTCAAATATTATTCTCATTTATTATCACAAGCAAGGCTCCAAACGAAAGGAGGGAGATGGCCAGGGTGTGAACAGTCAGCACAGGAGGCCACTCTGATAAGTGACAAGGAAATCACAAAGAGGAGTCCAAAGACAATGTTGTGCCAACTAGCCGTTTACCTGTTTATACTCTGTCAAAACACTAATACCCCATTCCCGGCCACACCCCTCCAGTGAGGCGCTGTCAGGAAAGCATATTATGGGAATTTTTTTTTTTTAATGTGAAGCTGGGATGAGAGCTGGGTTAGTGACTAAGTATGGTTACTGCTCTTGCAGAGGGCCCAGGGTCAACTCCTGGAACCCACATGGCAACTCTCCTGTCATGTCTTTACCTTTAATTTTCATCCAGACATCCAGTGTTATCATGGAGGCTTCACCTTCAAAACTCATTGATTATCCAAATTCTGATTTCCTCAGCAGCTCCTTGAATGGTCCGAACTGCCAACCTATCTAGTTTGAATTTCCACAAAACCCTCCAAACTCCTCACTCTTGCCTGCCCCTCACCAGCCTCTACAACCTACAGCAAAACAGAGCAAGTGCTTAATTCCCTGACACATCTCATGTATGATACCCAGTAAACATTCACTATGAAAAGCATTTCATACTCAAAGTCATGTTTTTCTAGCATCTGTTCAGATTGTAAGTTTTTTCTTTTATTTTCGAGATAATATAATCACATCATTTTCCCCTTCCCTTTCCTCCCAATAACCAATCGCTGCACTCTGCCTTCCCCAGGAAGACTGTTTCTCCTGCTCTCCGCATTCCTTAGTTGTTTCTTTTTTTATGTAGTGTTGAGGCCTTCTTCAGTGTGTCTATTAGTGTTGGATACTATTACAGAAAACTGTTAAGAACCAAAATGTGAAGTTATGGAGCTCAGTTCCAATGGATACCTCTAACACATGACCCCTGCACCAAAGGCTCAGGGAGTATAGTGCAAGGAGTGGAAAGATTACAAGAGCCCAAGGAATACAGTGTTTGCAATGTTTGTATCTCCTACTAATGTCAGAAACTACAACCGTAAAGTCTCACTAACATGACTACTTGGATTCTAAGTTCCTTAAAAGCACAGAACATCTGGGCTCTCATTTTAAATATCCAGCGCAGTTTCCATCAGATAATAGACACTATAGGAATGTTGACTGCAGGAAGGAGTTAGAAAAATAATCCTAACATTGATAATATGATTCTTTTGTGATATTTTAGTATATATACTTTATTCATTAAGGCTAGATTTCAAGAAGTACACCATATGACTTCTAAAGTACCTTGCTTTAATGGAGAAAATCTCCCTTAGTTGTTATTTCCCTTGATGTATGAAAAACTAAGTATCATCAGAGTCTGAAGCAATCTTACTTTCATACAGATAGCCAACCCTCAAATGGGAAGGTCATTCATTGGGTAAATAGAAAGGCCAGGATTAAATGTATCACACTGACTCTCATGTTGCCTTGACACATTTGCAAAGACAGTCTGGTTGGTTAAGGTCTTTGATTCAAAGCATCTGTACTCTCTGGTACAGAGTGTATGTTGACAAAATGCCTACTGATGGAACATAGGACTAGTCAATGGGTTTGAGATGTGTTTTCTTTAGAGTTACTTTTTCCCAACCTGCTGAAGCCCCTTGGGTTGCTTCCTCATTTAATTGTTACAGATTCAGGAAAAGCAGCACACTGACTACTCAAACACCACAC